ATATATATATATTTAAATTTCAAAAAAATGTTTTATCATATTTGAAAAAACATAAAATAATATTTCTTATTTAGAAAATTAAAATCTATTGGATAAAAACAAACATAAATTTCGCAATTTAAAAAAAATAAGGATATTTTTAAAAAGAAATCGATCCCACATATATATAGATTTTTTTCTTCTTCTTCTTCTAAAAAATTTTACCTTCCACAACCAATTCAATTCCTACTTCTATAGATAAAGAAAAGATTTTTTTCAAAAATTGTTTTTCCACAATTTCGTCTATATATATATATATNCCACAACCAATTCAATTCCTCCTTCTATAGATAAAGAGATTTTTTTCAAAAATTGTTTTTCCACAATTTCGTCTATATATATATATATATATATCTAAATTTCAAAAAAAAGGTTTTATCATATTTAAAAAAACATAAAAGTATCTCTTATTTAGAAAATTAAAATCCATCGGATAAAAATAAACATAATTTCGCAATTTAAAAAAAATAAGGATATTTTTAAAAAGAAATCGACCCCATATATATTTATATATTTTTTCTTCTTCTTCTTCTAAGAAATTTTACCTTTCACAACCAATTCAATTCCTACTTCTATAGATAAAGAGATTTTTTTTAAAAATTGTTTTTCCACAATTTCGTCTATATATATATATATATATTTAAATTTCAAAAAAAGGTTTTATCATATTTGAAAAAACATAAAAGTATCTCTTATTTAGAAAATTAAAATCCATTGGATAAAAACAAATATAAATTTCGCAATTTAAAAAAAATAAGGATATTTTTAAAAAGAAATCAACCCCATATATATTTATATATTTTTTCTTCTTCTTCTTCTAAGAAATTTTATCTTCCACAACCAATTCAATTCCTACTTCTATAGATAAAGAGATTTTTTTTAAAAATTGTTTTTCCACAATTTCGTCTATATATATATATATCTAAATTTCAAAAAAATGTTTTATCATATTTGAAAAAACATAAAATAATATCTCTTATTTAGAAAATTAAAATCCATTGGATAAAAACAAATATAAATTTCGCAATTTAAAAAAAATAAGAATATTTTTAAAAAGAAATCAATCCTATATATATTTTTTCTTCTTCTACGCAATTTTACCTTCCACAATCAGGCTGCAAATCGTGTCAATTCGACCGGTCTGTAATGGTCGAACAGTCCAGAAGAACAATATCGATAATCGTATAATTGCCCTACGTACACGTTACAATTATATTTAATCGTTGCATGGTTAAATGTAACGTAACACGCGCGGAATATCACGGAACGCTTGCGCGGGCAAACGAACGTTCTCGTGCCATTGAAGTCATCCACGTAAAATGGTCAAAAAGCGTTACATAAGCTTTCATAACGCGGAGTTGTTTGCAACTTGGGAAAAAAAAAAGAAAAAAAGAAAAAAAAAA